ACACAGGGAGTGCAGACAGGAAGTGAACACAGATATCACATTCTGACACACAGGGAGTGCAGACAGGAAGTGAACACAGACATCACACTCAGACACACGGGGAGTGCAGACAGGAAGTGAACACAGACATCATGCTCTGATACACAGGAAGTGCACATAGGAAGTGAACACACACAGGAAATGCAGACAGGAAGTGGACACAGACATCATGCTCTGACACACAGGAAGTGAACACACATAGACATCATGCTCCAACACATAACATCACCCTCCAGGCTTCACACTGGCAGCACACACAGGAAATGAACAGGACATCACACTCTGACACCGGGTGTGGGGACATGGGCAAGGCTCACTGTGGCGCTTCCGCGTGCTGGCTTTGCCCTCCTCCTTGGTGGCGCCCAGGCAGCCCGTCAGCTCCTGCACAGAGATGGCCTTGTTGTTATTCACGTCACAGTACTCCACGAACTTCTTCACACACTTTTTGGGCTTGGATTTTTTCCGAAGGAATCTCTTGAAGGGTTTGATTTCCTTCTTGCCAATGTCCCCGCTGGAGTTTTTATCGAGCAGCTTGAAGTACCAGTGCACCACCCGCTCCTCCAGGGTGTGGCTGGGGTCTGGTTCTGAGAGTCTGGAAGGAAGACAACCTGTCAGGATGCAGAAGCTCCTACTGTCTCCACCCAGCCCTCCAGTGTCCCCCTCTGTGTGTACTCACATCAGAGACCGATGGACAAGACTGAGGAAAAGCTAATCAGCAAATTCTCCAGGTTGGCTTGGAGTCACAGAGGCCACAGTGATCATGTGCACGTCAGGCATGCACCTGGCCTTGTACTTGGGGAGAAAAGCTCCAGGCCTGGGCCTGGGCACCTTGACGGGCAGGTAGGAACAGCCACCACACCCTCCTAGGTCCTCTGGGCCCCTCAATGTGATCATTTTTGAATCATATAATGCAACACACATACATATAACAGGTGTATTGAAAGATCCAAATCAAAGCTCTTTAAGGCTACAACTAGACAATTCCCTGGGATTAAAAAGCAGTTTGCTGTTTTAAGGAACAAACAGGTAAAAGTGCCTTGGAAGCCTGGCTTCGAGTCAGACCTGCAGGGCTGCACCTGCTCACAAGGGAGGAGGTTGTGCTTACCCCACGGGCCCTCCCACAGGCTCTGCATGCCGCCCTGCCTGGGTGTGGTGAGCTTTGCCCCTGAGTGTGAACAGTGGGCAGTCTGGCTGGCTGACACTGCTGACCAGTTTCCCAACTCTCGGAGGAGCTTCTTGGAGAGCAAGTCACCCAAGGCCTTCAGCTGCAGCTCCCATGAGAGAACCCTCCCTACATGATTATGAGAAGTAAAAAGCTGTAATCTCTGTGATGTTTTGCTTAGTTAAATTCGATTTTCTACCCAGTCATGACCTTTTCTGTTAGCACTGCCTTCCCCCTGAGTTGTCTGCAGCAGAGAAGATGAAGGTCCTTTTGCTAAGAGACCAAAAGCTTACCTCACCCCTCACCCTGGATGGATGAGAAGATTGAGGGCTTGGGGACGGGGGAGAAGACCGACACTCCATGGAAATAAAATGTTAGACTCTCCACTGGAAAAAATGTCCTTAAAATGCACAAATATGGATTGCTAGTTGTCAGGAAGAATAGAGAAGGCTTGGGTTGCCGCGGCAACGGCCCACGGGGAGTTTCCATCCTCCTGTGTCATCCGTGGGTACAGAAAGGCACTTGTTCCCACAGGGTACAGGGAGGCAATGCAGCTCAGCTCCAGGCCAGTGTGCAGCATGCCAAGGGGACCTTTGGGGTCAGAGAGGAGTGACCGTACCTGCTGCCACTCAACCACACTTGGAAACTGGGAAGGTGGCGAGTTTCATGAGCTGCATGTTCTACAATAAGTAAATCACATTTTGAGAGTTTTAAGTGAAACATTTCATTCCAAGGATGTAAAGTCTGATATATAACTGTAAAATGGGGTCTCATGACGGAGGGCATTCAGAAGTGTTCTCCTGTCCCTGGCCTCCTCACCACAGGGACCCTGGGAAATGGCAGCACAGAGAAACCTGCCGAGCAGCCAGCCTCCTGGCCTTGGAGGGCTCTTCCTTCAGGCCCGAGTACTTCCAGGTGTCCCACCCTTAGGATCTGCTCCTCCGTGAACTTCCAGGGCTTCTGCGGGAAGCACAGCATACCTGCCCGATGGGGACGAGGGGTCAGAGACAGCATGGACCATGTCTGTGGACAGTGCATCCAAGACGCTTGTCAAAAATTCATGCTTTTTGGCACCAGGACAACCTGAAAAATAAAGGCACATTACAAAACTCACAAAGGCTAACAGGTTTTTCTCTACAATGGAAAGAAATGGCTCAGTGCTTAGAAAGTCTAATGTTGGGCTACTTTAATGTTAATGAGCTAATTTAACACTTATAGGCACTTTGAAATATGCAGCTTTTGATTTCGAATCATATATTATTGATTGCAATACTTGACATTTACTGAATTACGTGAGACTAAGAGCCATAGAGTATTTCCCTGATGGACGCAGCAGTCCACAGCTTGCTGTCCCGTCTTACAAAGGCAAGCCAGGCTCAACATGGTCAGGGCGCACACCAAGCCCTCCAGTACTGCAGCTCTAACCCAGGAGGCTTCTTGGTACTGTCCACTCTGCAGCCTCAGCTCTGTGGCCAGCCGCAGGAGGCAGGAGAAGCTCTGCAGCTTCTGCCAGGAACAGACCTGCACATGGACACCAGTCGGACAGGAGTCAGCACTAGCAAATCCCAGAGCTGACCTCACCTAGGTTCCCAGGGTCCAGGAGCAATCCAGCAATTCCATGTATCTACAGACCACTATTCCACAACGTGTTTTACACACAAATACCATGTCAGGCCCCGTCTGTGGCTCACCCCCTGTGGAATTCCCTACACCTCTCTCTGTCCCGCCATGTCGGAGACCTTCTCCCCACCCTGAGTTCAAGACCAAGAGACAGCTACCCACTCTGGGGTCTTTCCCTCCTGCGAGTACCACCCCCCCACGTCCTGGTACCAAAGCCTGTGACTAGGAGGTACCATCATGGAGCCCCTCAGACTAACCACGCTGGACAGCCCGAGCAGCCCTCACTGGGCACACCCTCCCCACAGAGAGAAGACCCAGCAAGGCTCGCTGCTGGACAGCCCAGCAGAAGAGACTGATGAGGGCCATGCCAGGCACAGGGTGGGGAATGGTGTCCGTGCCCCTCGACAAACTGGAAGACCGATGATCACATCCACATTGGAGAGACAGAAGCAGAGAGTAGAGTGAGTGAGGCCAGGCTGGACTCCATGGGGGGTGACTCAAGGGACACTAGAGACGGTCTCCCTGGGGGGGACGGGTGCTGCGTCCAGCAACCAGCACACGTTGGTTCTCCTCGCACGCAGAGCCAGGCTGCCCCTGCCAACCATGGCCAGGACCCCGCTGCTGCAGACCCCATGGCGGGGAGGGATGGCCCTGGGCAGCAAGCAGTCTCCTCATGGGGTGAGACCAGATGCAGGGAGAGGCCCTGTGAGGAGCCTGGACACTGCCATGAACAGCAGGAGCCACAGGCACCCAGGCGCTGGTTCTGAGGCACACTGGGCTTCCCCAGCTGCTGTCAGGAAGCAAGGAGTCTAGACCACAGGGACAGAGAACACAGGAAGTGACCTGTAGACACGAGGGACCTCTCAAGACGTCCAGGGCCGTATGAGTCACAGACAGGAGTTTGGACTCATCTGAGGAAAGGAGGGGCCTTGGAAGATGTGGAGAAGGGACACAGTCTGATGTGACCCTGCAGGTGTCATGGTGCCCTCTGCAGACCACAGATTGTGGAGGAACAGAGGAGTCCAGCTGAGGCCACTGCATGGTCTGGAGGACCAAGAAGGGTCCTGGGAACCTGGCTCAGGATAAGCCAGGCAGCGGGAAGCTGGGCTCTGGGATTGGGACGGCCGGGATCTAAGGGCCTCCTGAACCCAAGTTCAGAGCCATTCCTAGCTCTGACCCAGTCTCCAGATCACTCTAGTAAGCAGCTCACGGCCTGAACTCCCGTGGCCACAGAGGAGTGGGAAGAGGTCTCCTGAACACCCCACTTCCCCCAGGGAGCACGGAGGGCTTCCATGTGGTTCTGCCTTCCTTCCTAAAGTTCTGTGTGGGCTTCGCCATAGAGGAGAGCTGAACGGGGGAGGTTTCTTCTGGAACTTGTACTTTAAGACCCTAAATCTCTTCAGCTTTTACCAGGTGCATGAAGTGTTTCCTAGCAAGTCTCCCTGCAAAACGAACCTGGCCAGTGTGTCCACCTATGGGCCATGGCTTGGAATTGAGAGGCCCCGTGCAGGGCAGCCCATCTCTCCCTAAGCACCTTCTAGGCATTTTGAGACAGAAGCACTGCTTTCCTTATTGCATCTTCCCTGGGGCCCTCATGGGCCCTGCAGCCTGTGGCTGCTCCGGTGTGCCCCAGGCAGGAGCTCCTGGAGGGACCCTGGTCAAGAAACTTCTTAATCTTGCCATTCAAAGAGAGCCATCCCTTTCTCAGGACTGAGGCCTGTGGTCCAGTATCGTCTGCAGGGTCAGTGCACACAGGGGCCCCATGCCTCCTCAGTGCAGTTCTACTTGGCCAAGGCGGCCGTGTTGGCGTGTGGTTAGTTACATGCAGTGCGTTGTCGTGAACTAGTGCACTGAGGCTTCTGAGCCTGGGGACAGCTGGCCGCAAAGCTGCTGCAGAGGGCATCTGCCCACCATCCTGCCACTCTGTGACCTCTGTCCAGCAGGCCGGGCCCCAAAACACACGGCATGGGAAGGGGTGGCTCCAAGGTGTGGGCGCCCCTGGTGCTGCGCCCCCGCGAGATGATAGGAGGCAGGATTCAACACCCACGGCCACAGTCCACTGCAGGCCCAGGGACGATCAGCACTGCGACCCCTGACCACCCTCGCCACCAACACCCCCACCATGCCCGTGATGCTGAGGGTGCCCCCGTCAGTTCAGATCTCACACCTGGTGTTGTCCACCATGGTCACAGTGGTCCTTGGGGACAGCACCCACAGCAGCACATTGGGACAGGGAAGGCAAAGGTGAGCAGAGGCTGACTGGCCTGTTACAGAGTCCACGTCCCTACAGGCAGTGCTGGAAGGCCGGTGGGGACGCCAGGCAGTGCTTGTTGGCTGCTGCTGTCCACCTGTGCTGAGCATCACGCAGCCCATGTCTGCCTGGGTGGGACTGGGGGAGGACCCCCAGACCTGAGTGTGATGCGGGAG